GAAGTCTAATTCCTTCATTCTTTGTGACATTTTACGCTCACTGTAGGCTGTAATAAATAGTTCATTTGAGGTATTCCCAATTCAGAATTAAAATCAGGAACACTATGTTAACAGGAAGCAAAGAAACCAATTTGATTTCGGACATATTTATCAGGAGGCCTCCTGCCACACACTGTCCAAATGAAGCACTGAGTGACACAAAAACTTAATTCAATTAAGCACTCTCCAAAAAAATAAGTATTTCCTTAGGGTTCCTAAGTACCTGATAAGACGACATGGCTGGATACTGCACCATCATGCCTTGCACCTGATTTCCCTGTTGATTATTCATTAGGTTCTGGCTTTGGGGCGGCTGCTGCATTCCCATGAGACCCTGGAACCCCTGCTGCTGGTTTGGCAGGACAGACTGGTAACCTGGAACAAGAAAGACGTCTTCAAATACCCTGTTGCTTGTAAGGGCAAAATTACAACTGTTCTAAGGAACAGCAAATGATCTCATAATTTCACCCCACATTAGTCAAAAATCAGTCAAAGCTCATTTCTAGAGAAGCATTACTGGAAAGGAAAATTGAAGTGCAATAATTAAATGCTGTGAGCTGACAGCTCAGGTAGGTTAACATGAACAGGCACCACACCTTTGTTATGCTCTTTTACCCTGTGACAGAGACCTCCTTGAGGGATGTCTGACTGCACTTCAGGACTGTAAATCCTTTAAGAGACACAGGGCACTACTGTCTTCTGGCTACTTTCTCAGTGGCAAAACTCATATCAACTTCAAGGACACCAGTACTCAGCCTTCATAGTCTAATCTGACAGTTTCTTTCAGGTCACATTTCTTATCTTACCCTCACATCTTTCTTGTAATGCAGCTTCCTAGCATGATGCAAACAGAGAAGGCTACAAGAAGAACATCTGTAATCAAGAAGAACATCTGTATACACTGGCTCCTATTTGCAAGAGGGGTTTTTTTTGTGTAATTAGAGCATATTAAGGGTCATATTCCATCCATCTCCTAGTTTCAGATTTGTCAAAGGAGGAAAATCATATATTAGAGAGTGTCCTCACCATTTTTCAGTAGGAACGCTGCTGACACAAAAGAGCCTGCACAGGTATGAGAAGCTGATGCTTCTGTTTTAACCTATGACTAACTCTGTGTTCAAGTCACCACAATATTGCAGGTTTTCTCCTGGGACAACTCTTCTAGGACTGAGAAATGGGCAGAGACTGGATGATCTGGAGGGCCAAGCTGCTAATGAGGCAGAAGCGTGGATGGGAAGTAAAGCACGAATGGTGCGCTGCTCGGCAGCAACATGAACTAGCCTGAGAATGAGCATAGGTGGATGGAAGTGGGCTGGCTGACCCAGCTAATATTTAGACATGAAGAATTTTGCAGAAAAAGCAGGAAAGAAAAGGAAGATGTAGAAAGATCCTGTCCTTGAAAAATATGGCAAGCCATAACTATTATAAATCTATGAATAATTTCTCTTTAAGATGTTTCTTTAGCACTCCTATTTTTAACATGCAGTTATGCAGTGCACTATTAACTCTGTAGTGATGTTCTTAGAATAAGCATATTTCAGACAAAGAACTACCAGAAGGAGCAGCTCTGTGTCATCTTTATATGAAAAATGTGTGTCACGTCTGCTCAATTTATATTCATGAATACGATACATGGTTCAATATACTTCACGAATTGAAAATCATCATCTGGGTATTTCTTCATTATGTAAGAAAAATAAAGCAACTATATCTCTGTTTCTGCTGTTCTATTGTCAACTGATAGCTTTCCTTCAAAATCTTTTCTATGTCAGAGAAATGTTGGGTATTTCTGATCAAGTTTTGGCATTAAAGATGCCTTTACACAGATATGAGATTAATGTCTCCAGTCAATTGAGCAAATAATATAAAAAAAAATTCCATGAGTGATTAGGTTGGATGGGATATAGCATCAAACATCTCCCAAAATCACCAGATTATTATACATTCAAATTTGCTCTTTTCCTATGCCCAAATACAGTGTCAGCATATTTTTTAGTTGTAAAAATACCAACATCAGAAGTGCTGTAACTGAGTTTACAGAAGGCTTATACAGCAATAATAAAATTGCAAGTCCTCTTCTGCTCCAGTATATCAATTATAGAGGGGAGGGATAAAGGACAGAAATAAAAAATTTAGCACTACTATTCTGGTATTTGCAAGACTGGAAGTTTAACAGGTGTCAACTGACAGCAGAAGCAGCAACAGATAATTCATCTCATGCCACTTGTGGTTGTTAAAATAAGTCCCAGATGTGTAAAAAGAGCGATAGACAGATGGTGGATCACGGATCAAGTGACACATTTGGAGAATCTAATTGAACATTGGATTTGGGCTCACAGAATTGGATCGTGATGCGCTAACACAGGGTGGTAGACTGGAGTTCTGCGGAGACAGACAGACACCACTTGGGTCAAGTAGAAAACTCTTCCATTATGCCTAGTAAATATGATTGCATTACCATTAGTCAGACTACTGCTAATGCCCTGCTGCATGTTTGAATATGCAGCGCTCTCTCCCCCTCAGTTTTGTATTTCACATTCTCCAAATATGACAAATGTATTACCCTATACAGACATGAGTATCAGACTGAAACAAAAACTTGAAGGACCTACACTTTTGACAAACATGTAGGCATGATCTCATAGGGGCATTACAAAAACACAGAATGGCTTTGGTTGGAAGGGACCTTAGAGATCATCTAGTTCCAATGATACACGAACACACACTCTCCACCCTGAAAATCTCCTCTGTATTATCAAACACTGCTTAGCACATGACATAACCACTCCATGTTTTAGGTACAGGAATACGAAAAGGAGATGGGCTTAAAAGCTGAAGTCTGCTAGGCTACGAATTATTAATTTAACAATCTTATTACTTTTCAAGGACTTCAGGAATTTCTCCTGCGCATAGGGCATGGACACTCTTTACTCCTGTCCCAGCATGCAGAGTACTGCTTGCAACCCTGGAAGTGAGACCTTTTTTCCTACTCCCTCTGTGAGCCCTTTGCAATCCTCTGACCACAAAGAAAAGCATCAACACAAAGAGAAAAATACCTCACATGCACTCTAACATACTTCCAATTTGATTCGATGGGAGCAAAGAGGTTGTATCCTGAATCCTCCTAGATTCACCAGAAAATAGGTCAGTTTTTAGGTCCAGAAGGAGGTACTCTTGACTATTTACTCCCCTAACTTGTGGGTAGAAACAAGGGATGTTTAATAAGGTTACTGGCACGTGTGTATTCTTGCAACAATGCTGGCTGTCACCTCTTTCTTACTTAATATTCATAAACTTTTTTATGGTCAGTACCCTTTGGAATGAAATGAAGTTACAGATGTCAGACCTTGCTGCAGAACCCCAGTATAGCATTTAGTCAAAATCCAATGTCCTCTGCAAAGTTCTACAACCCAAGTAAGGCCGCTTCATTTTACCTGATGGCAAATTCTGATCCTTTACTGTGTTAAATATATAAAGAAAAATCCAAGTTCACCCATTCTATTGAAGACAAAACTCTGACAAGGTACAAAAACATATTTCAACAGTACAGAGGGAGTACAGAGTATTAAAAGGTGAATTAATTTTTTTTATCTATAACAAGCTCTATAAGCAAGAGAAAAAATGCTATGACAAAACAAAGAAGCCAATGTCTGTTCTGCTAAATGGCTTCTATTTCAGCACAAATGCAAGTGGAAGAATTGTCATTCTACATTGCAATCCATTTGGACAAAAAATTGTTAATATCAGAAACCAGATACTCTGGATCTCCTACCACCACAGCCCAAATTCTACATGTAACATTTGAAAAAGTCCTTCAGTGTTTACTGTGTTATGTCTTCGCATGTTTCTGCACATTGCCCAGGAAAAACAATGAAGGTCAGAGAATTGAGGCTAATATCAACCTTTCAGCAACGCTTGTGAAACTGTGTTATTATTATAGCAAAACCTTTTTTTTTTTTTTTTTTGAGGGTGGGGGGCACAGACCATTAGAGAGTGCTATTCCCCCAAAATTACTTATTTTGTACACACACAGCAGTTTCAATCCTCAACTTAGCTCTGTCATGCTTTTCACTTTTCAGTGAAATGAAAATAATACAGTTTTCTCAAAAGTGTGCAAAAGTCTCAAACCAACTGCAGTGCATGAAAACCCACACATTACTGGGCAGAGATGGATGTTTTGGAGCTACAGAGGTGTAAGGAAATAAGCGAGAACTGGAAGTGGCACCATGCTTAGGCAGCAATAGTTTTCTTTGCACTTGCTCTTTTACTCATTAGCTTTCATATAACATACAGAGAAATCCTTAAAAGCCTCTTTACTGTCCCCTGAGAACACACATACGTGGGTTATTTTCTAATGGCAGTACACATCAGATGAACCATCCTATTACTGCAAGCTCCAGGGCCTCTTTACTGCAATTATATCATCCTGCTCTATGTTATCTCTGCTACAAAGGAGGATTTTTTAAATCAGGGCAAACATGAGAGACACTGTTAAACAACCAGAGGAACATATTGTGCGCAGAATTTCAGTGAATGCCTCAGAGGAAAGATGAGCCTTGGATTGCAGTTGAAATGGAAGAGGCTGTCATACTATCAAGGTAATTCTCTGAACCTTTACAGTCTGCATCACCATGCTGAAAGTCATCTAACTTTAACATCCTGGGGGAGAAAGACTGCATGGAAGACCCACAAATGTTTTAATTTCCTGGAAGCTAAAATCAGAAAATGCAGTGGTCTTACACCTCTGCCAGTAGTGTCACTCAGAGCTGTAATTAAAGCATGTGTGGTGCTCTGCTGGCCTCAGCATAGACACTTCAGGAATGGTACACCCATGTTGGGTGCCGTTCATTTTAGATTTGAAGCATGTATTAGCAAGACAGCTTTGTAACACGTGTATCAGCATGGCTAGTAAAGAGTAATCAGCACTTTGAGAAGTGCAGCAGTCTGGTGTTGAGTCCCACGAAGCTCTTCCTGGAAGACCTAATGAGCTCACACTCTGTTCAACTTACTCAAAAGAGATAGAGGCAAGTAGATAGTTGTGCTGGTTTTGGCCAGGGCAGAGTTATTTTCTTTCCAATAGTTATTCTGTGAGTTTTGGATTTGTGCTGAAAACAGCATGATAATTCAGGGATGTTTTAGCTACTGCTGAGCAGTGCTCTCACAGAGTCAAGGCCTTTTCTTCTTCTCATACCACCCCATCAGGGGGAGGCTGGGCGTGCCTAAAGAAGCTGGGAGGTGACAAAGCCAGGACAATTGATCCCAACTGACTAAAGGGATATCCCAGGCCATATGATATCATGCATGCTTTCTACTTTTCTGAGTCTCTCCTCCATGCCACTTGGGAGAGTGAGTGAGTGAGTGGCTGCATGGGGCTGAGTTGCTTGCTGGGGTTAAACCACAACCATAGTTCTGCAACAGAGCAGAAAATGGTATAATAAAATTACATGGCTGGAAGATAAACCTAGAACTGTTCAGATTAGAAATAACATTTAAAGTTTCAACAGACCTCGTAATTAACAAGGAGACAATTTACCCAGAGACGAAGCACATCTGAATCACTCAAAACCCCTAACTAAAGGAGGGACATCTTGCTAGAAGATATGCATCAGTTTAATAAGAAGTTCTGTGAATAAAGATATTATTAGAATGTGGTCTTTGTCCAGTATTATTCAGACCATTAAATTACATGTTCTAGACTTGAAATACTTAGGAAAATGTTAGTCAGTTAGCTCTTAACACTTTTCCTGTCTTCCAAGAAAAAGACTAATCTTTTGTACGTGAGACAGGATCCTCTTCCCAGTCTCTCCTCCCTTTGATCATACACTGGTAATGCCACCCAGTTCACTCCACAAGCACTGTTCACCTGTGTACTGCGGATATTCTAAGGGCTATTTCTGGCCTATTTTAGTTTATTTGCCCTGGCTGGAGTACTGCTCGGTAGACTTTGTAGATTGAAGAATGTGATCAGTATTCATTCCCACAATTTTGCTAGGCTATATTTTCCTTTACTTTTTAAAATAAGCTATGGGTAAAGTATTAAAGTGGTTGCATGTAGCTTTTACTTTACAATCATAGAAATTTAAAATGCCCGTGATAAATTACTAATCAGTAATTACACAATTCAGTCATACATGTTAGTATGTTTGGTAAAGTTTTGACAAAAGTTATTACAAAAAGCTTTGAGCTGGTCCATCCCAAAGGATTTGCAATACTGAAAGGAAGAAAAAAACTTAAGCAAGCTGTTCAGTAAGATCAAACAGTGTCTTAGAATGACAGTCACAGAATTGATTCAAAGAATTATTTAGAATGGAAAAGACTGCTAAACTCATCAAGTCCAACCATTGCCCTAACACTGTCAAGTCCACCACTAAATCACATTCTCTTAAGCATCACAAAGAACCTTTTGGTTCTCAAATAGACCCTAAATATTACCTGTAAAACAGGAGGAAATACAGCTGAGTTGGAGAACCTTGCATAGGACAGCTGTCCTAGCTGTGGGACCTGCATAATGAGATCCTTCCCAGCCCAAGTGAGAGCAGGAATTCAGCCAAGGGTTTCCTGGCAGCCAGAACAAAGCCCTCTGATACAGAGGTCTGTCAGTCCCTCCTGATGACACTCCTTACCTCATGTGAGATTCTCAAGTACTGGATTGCCACCAGGTGTTTTACCTCCTACATGGACATCACAATACCATCCCTATGCACTGTTTCTCTAGAGAAGCACTTCTCGAAGGCACTATGTTCAGACTGGCTTCTCATTTCCAGGTGCTACATGCTAGAATTGGGTGCACAACTAATTGTCTGAAGAAAATGTTGGGGTTTTTTTCTTTATATGGTTGACCCTTACCTGGCAAGTTTTACTGCAAATGGTGGAATACTGTCTCATGAAAACCTTAACCTAATCTATAAGTTTAAGCTGATTTTGATTTTAGCCTCACCTCAAAGCATCTTCAGTTCGGAAGACTACCACAGAAGACATATTAATTAACATCTCCCTCCTGTTGTTATTTTCTGTGTGAGTTGGAGATTTAAACTGCACCTTGTGCAGCTGGAATCCAGAATACTTTTTAAGCAATTTTGTAGTTTAAGCTTGGACCTAAAATTCAAAGCACGCTGCAAAGCAAATCTACTGCAGTTGATCAATCCACTCCTACTCTGTCTGCTTTCTCTCTGCAATACATATAAAAAATGTTTGGACTTAGTAATATGTTTGATCTTTATATTCCACTTGAAGATATCACAGATAATTTATTGGTATGAACTGGATACCATCTGAGCTAGAAGGACAAACACACAATATTTAAATGCTAAAAATTCATTCTTTCCCCTCAAAATGTAAGACCTAGCAATTATTTTATTTAGTTATCACATACATACAAAGGAAAAAAAAACCCACTAAGATTACCTATGCCTGAAATAAAGGACTCTTAAGAAGCAACAGAAAACTTGGAGGTATGAGGTAGCTTAAAACACACATAAAACAGCACATGTCAAAAACCACAGCAGCACACAGAGTCATTTCCACACAGCACTCTGCAAGTTCAGACCCTCAAAAAACAAGAGAAGCCTTTTCACAGAAGTGACTCACAGCTTGGCTTCTTTCATTTCAGGTAAAAGCACATCCCGCTCCAGCAGTACAGCTTGCAGGGGAAACCACGGGGTATTATGTTAGTTTTGTTTTCAAAATTTAAAACTAATGACATCGATTCACTCAAGTTGTGCAAGATCAAAACAATTCTTAGCTAATGGCGCTCCAGTAACATTCACTGAAAACACATAACCCTGTAAATGTATTCCTAAAGTGATTACAATGACAGTGACTCAAATAATTTTCTGCAGAGCTGGGGTTATAAAACTGCAGGATGTTGAACTTTAAGTCTTGAAACATAATTGCTGCCAGAATCATAGCTCCTGGTCCCTAAATTGTCCATAGCTTTGCTAAAAACATATTCATGCTTCCTAACCTGGTAACAGATCAATAGCCAGACTTCTTGTCAGACTCACAGAGAAAGAGCCATGTTCAGCTGCATTAAGAAACTCAGCAAGATGTATATGCATCAGCAATATGAGCCAGTAAGATTTATTATCACAAAAGAAAGAAGAAAAATACTGGATAAAAGACAATTTGTCTATCTTCCCCACCCTCTTTCTCTCTCTCGTTTACAAAGCTACAAATCCCACAAAATGAATAGTGCAAAAATATCTTCATCTAGCTTCAGAAGAAGAAGAAATAAAATTGGGAAATTTCCTGCAGTTTTGGATTATTTCAGAGCAATCTATTTGTTGGATTTGGTAAAAACTGCTGCTGAAAATACTCTGATAAGTGTACAAAAGGATTTTTTTTTTTTTTTTTTGATAAAAGCTCTGAAATGTGGCGAGTTTGGCTTAACTGAGTGGGATCTGTCTTACCTAGCTGAACTGCGCCTCCTTGTCCCCTTGCTCTATTCTTCCTCAAAAAGCTATACGAAATCCTGGTTTTACTTGTTTTGCAACCCCAGGGGCTGGAAGAAATCCAAAGCACAGAGCATCTGAAGCATAGCTGGTTTCATGTGCTGCTGAGAAAATGCTGACAACTGGGGGCACGTCTAAGCTGCTAACAAAATGGGGAAAAAAAATTAGGGGAATAACACAACTCCTGTAGCAAAGTAAACCCTCCCATTTCAAAAGATGTGTACGATCAGAGCCTCACAAATATTTTGTTTTTTAACTCTGCTTTTCCTGCATAAGCTGGAATAAGGTATTTCTTTACAAAAGCTAAGACAAGATGTTTTGTGCACACTGTTCTTAGAGAATAGACACCCCATTAAACAAATGGGTTCATCTGGGAGGTAGAAAGCCCACTACTGTGGTGATTTAGATTATGGCAATAAGAAATGATGGAAGTAACACCACAGAGTACATGTAAGATTTAGAGCTTCTTACATGCCACAGAAATATCCATTATCCTTTCTTTTACCCTTCTGCTATAATGCCAAGTTTCCAGTGCTGGCAGTGAGGAGTAGTGTTATCTTTTAAAAAAAAAAAATTATATGCATGCTTGCTGTCCCATGGGGGAAAACCATTTTGCAAAGAGTGCTGAACTCTTACTTAATGCCTTCTACTACACCATCCAAGCAACTACCTCTAGGGCAAATATGCGAAGTCATGGATACAATGAATTTATGGATTGCCTACAGATGCATACCCAGCCTGCAGTTACTTTTCCACACCTGAAAAGAGTCAGTTTAAAACTCAGTGACCTCACTACTAAGTAAAAAGGCCCAGACAAGTAAGAGGTATGATTAAATACTTTCATTATATAACTAATGAAATCACATACTGTAACATCTTCTGAGACCAAAATTTTAATTAAGGCAGGCTGGCATTTTGGCTTCCCCCCCACACACCCCTTATGTTCTAGGGGAACAGCAGGTAAGGTCAAACAAAAAGCTTATGTGATAGAATTGTGTGAGAGTGCTCCTGGGAGACCTGGCATTATTAACAAGAACATGAAGAAGGGCACAGTTGAGCAGTTCAAAGATAAAAGATTGCATTCAGTTTACTTTTTGGTATCAATTGGAGAACCTGAGAGAGCTGTTATTCGACAAGAAATATATATAAATAGGCATCAAAAAGAGCTTGAATGGATATAAATACAGGAGATTCAAGGCTGGATAAATGTTTTTCTTCAGTTTAAAATCTGTATCCATTCTTTTATTTCTCTACACAAAGGATTTCCAAATTATAGCGACAGCTTTAAGAAGAACTTGCTGCTAGTAAGTGGCTTGATGTTGAAAATAAACCTGTTCCTGATGAGAACTTAAAACCATATAATTATATAATAATCACTTATTTTACTCTTGTTTCAATACACTTCTTTTGTTTTATATTTGGAGACCTTGTAGCATTGTTCCTGCTCTTCAAAAACTATGACAAATATTACTTGCCCTTCTCCTTGAAGATAAACCTGAAAATAAACAGAGGGGCACCTTTTACAGACATAGTATGTAACTCCAAGCTTCTATAATATTCTGAGAAGAAAATTCTATTTTTAAGACAAAATCCTTTTATCTCACTTCAGTAAAAAAACAGAGTGAACAGCCAGCTGCAAGCCAAAATAATTGCAACACAATAATGCAGGGCTCCATTACAGCAGCCTAATTCCGGTAAAGCAGCTGATCCAGGATCTTGGCACTTGCCCAGACCCTGGAGCCTGACTTAAATGCATTAACCCAGGACATGTGCAGCTGTTTTGGTAATCTGAGGCTTCTGTATTTTGTTGGATACCAAAAAAAAAAAAAAAAAAAAGAAAAAAGAAAAAAAAAAAGTCACTCAGGCAGCAAATGACACAGGTGAAATAGAGAGAGAGGAGGAAAGTATTTTATGCTTCTGAACTAAGTTAATCCACGGAGCCACATGAACCAGCTCAACAGCTTTGGGGGCATGGCATTTCCTTAGGCCAGTACAATGAGCAAGGGTTTACACTGGAGTGTTGTAGATACCCAAAGCCAGCTGAGGTACCTGCAGGGAGAGTACTACGGGACCTGGAAAACGTTATTCTGAGAGGGGTGAAGCCTTCTCAGCCTTACAGAGTTAAGCTGCTGAAGGCACATATTGCAAGCTGGTGCATGGTTCTCATGACAACAGGGAGGTCCCAAATAGCTCTAGGGAACAGTTAAGTATAATCTTTCTGCCCTCGGTCCCTGCCTACTAATCCTGACGATGTTAAGGAGAGTTAACACAGATCCATGGACAGGCCAACAGATAATTTTGGAGAATTTGTAGGTTGCTCTTAAGAGAGCTTCACTGCTTAAAACAGATGCAAATCCAGTCATAGCCCTTACCATGGCCACAGACTGTTATACTGATGTAGTCTGCTGCAATTCCTCTTTATGAGGTTTTTGAATAGCTAATGTACAACTAAAACATCAATGTAAGAACTCATTAGTGTTGATAGTAAGAGTCCTTTGGCATATGATGTGTCATAGGTCATGCTTCATATTGAAAAGTGGCATCTAGAGGGATGCCCTTGCCAGCAAAACATTATAGAGTTCTCATTTGACTACATAAAATTACGTTCAAGACTCTGCTCAATTCAGAGTCAAAGTGTCCATACATTCTTGCAGACAAACAGAATTTTCTTGAAAGCTAAGATCTGCAGCAAACTGTGAAGAAATGATGCATGCATAAACTATTTTACTACTACTATTTTCAGGGGAAAAACCCAAACCTAATAGTTTTCACTGAAAACTGAAAAAAAACCCTTCTCTTTTCTCACCTCTCTACCTAGGAAGACGTACTTTGAAAAACTGCAAAGTGCAGCATTTCTTACAAACATATTCATTTTCACATAGGAATATTTTTTATGCAAAATGGTAAATTTCTGTAGCTCAGGTACAAACTTCCACCTGGTATAAATTCAAACCCTTACTAAAAAATTTGGCTAACTGAACTCTCAGTATGCATACATACACATACACGTATCTATATCCATGCTCCAGCTAGCGTTATGCAGTAGTCCGGCATAAGGCTACCCTGGGGAGTTCATATAAATAATGAAAACACTCAAGTAACATCAACTCAAGATAGTCCACTAGAGAGACTTTTCTTTCTGATTGCATCAGAATGATCTCTTCACCTGAGTTAGGTGGCAATATGATAATTTTCCTTACTGAGAATAACATGCCTGGCCTTTCCAAGGACAGCAGACTTAAGGCTGTTATTTCCAGCCAAAAGTACCTGCAGGTGTGAGTGACAGCACTCAAGATACAAGAAGATAACAATAAATGTCCCAGTTACTGATCATCTGCAGGGCTACATGAATTGACTGTGCACAATTGCTCTGTGCTGAACGCAAAGGGAAGCAGAAGATGGGTTAATCCTTTGCACATAGAACAGGCTGGAGGTACATATATAGTCAAGTCAGTGCAGCTCATTAGATGAACAGTACCCTGTGCAATACTGCCTATATGTACCTGTGTCTGTGTTTGCATTCTATTATAAAAAATAGTTCCTGGCCATACCATAACAATTATATGTAGTATCCATTTGTTTTTGTTATCAAATTCAACTGTGCAATGGGACAGCTAGCCACCAAAACAAAATTATGAGTCAAAAAAAGAACAAATACAAAACCAGCAGGATCAGATTCATCATGCAAGCTGTAAACACCGATTCGCTGAATTTCAGCAAATTGATTTCTACTAGTTTGATTTTCTGGATTGACTCCAAATAAATAACGGCAGGTCTGAGCATACAAATTGCAAAGTGCCTGTGCATTGATCTATCTATAACTTTGCACTTGATAGCAGATTGATATCTTGGTATCAGCTCTTGATACTGCTGAAATATCTACAAGCATAAGCTCAAGGTGAGCCTCCATGCTGTGAAAACTTCAAGGAATAGCTGCAGTTCCTACACTGAAGATGATGCATTTCTGAATAGTCAAGACAGCTGGAGATGGAAAAATAAGCACCCAAGACAAATAATTTGCTCAGAGAAAAGGAGCAGAACTGCACAATACTTTTATGAAAAGTACACCAAAATCTGTGTGCTGAGTGCTTACAGTCCTGTTTTGAGCAGGGATTGCTCAGGCAGGCTGCTGCTCACCAGCCCAGTCAGAGATGATGGTCCCTGTGCTCTCATTGCTTCTGCCACGCTGTTTGTTTCCACACAGCTCCATGTACAGACTCCTATCCACATCCTGTCTATTGGAGGAAGGCTGCAGTGTGCTGGTAATGCACAGTTCACTGTACTGAGTTGCATTTTACTGTGGGCAGATTGGGTTAAATGACTGCTAGTACCATAAACCTAACGATCCCTGCTTTTCACCCTTGCAAGCTGGGCTTTGTTTTGTGCCTCAGCCTCACAAAGAGTCTTCATAAACAAAATATCAACTGTAAGTACTACCTGACACAAAGGCAGTGCTACTGCCTGATGGCACTTGTCCTCCCTACTGCTTCTGCATACACCTATAGGTTTCAAATCACTGAGCAAAAGGACGACTTGTGTTTATTTATTTACCTATAAGGACACGACAAGTTATGGGCTACAATCCCCCAGCTAGATGCAAACAGACACAAGGATGACACTGAAGCCAACAGGACTTTGATGTAGCATATGTCTGCCCATATGGGTCCAAATGAAAACATTTAATCTTTTCCAAGTGCACCCATGCAGAACACAATCCAAAGACTACTGGGGTTAGCAATCAACCTTAACCGGCTTTGTACTACATTAGAAGCACTTGTCTACACCATACTGATTACTGTGGCCCCTAAACAGCAGAGCCCTTGAGCATTTGCTTAACTTTTACGCATATCAGCTAATTCCTTGATGTTAGAGTAATGATTTCCAGGCTTGAATACACCTCTGGACAGAGGGCAG